TCTGACAAATTTATAGGTAATGTCAATAATGCTGGCCCAAGGACCACCCTTTGAGAGCCACTAGTACTGACTATGTGGCTATCCCAGTTATACTGACTATGTGGCTATCCCAGTTATACTGACTATGTAGCTATCCCAGTTACACTGACTATGTGGCTATCCCAGTTATACTGACTATGTGGCTATCCCAGTTATACTGACTATGTGGCTATCCCAGTTACACTGACTATGTAGCTATCCCAGTTGCTTGTCATGACCAGATGTGCTTGCAGGGAAGAAGGTTTCTGTTTGCCCCTTCAAAGGTGTTCTGGGTCCAGGACAGCATTGAACTGGAACAATAAGTCATTATTATCCATCAGTTTTCATTGTGCTGCAGATGGCACATTGGAATCATCAGGAGGATCGTATGTAAATTGCTGGAGCTCAAGTCCTTCCTCCAGAGAAAATTAAATAATTGTACAAATTTTCATTGATGAATATTATAAATATTATATATAAATTATAGATCAAATTTTATTATTATTTAACTATTATCATTTATAATTAAAGCATAAGTTAAAAATTCTTTTATAATAGGAAAAATTATGTCCAAGAACAGGTATTGAACTGTTGATTTCAAATGATGAAGTGCCATGTAGCCTTATAAAATATCTTGGAGAAATGGATTCATGGTAGAGAAAAATGTTTATGAAGATTTGCTGAGTTTTTAAAAGGCAAGTGAGCAAACAATATGCATTGTACTTTGTCATTTTAAAAGGTATAATATGTGGACACAGAAAAAAGGGTAGAATGTAGTTTACTAAAATCTAACAGTATTTCTCTGGAATAACTATAGTATTCTAAACCTTCTTTCAATCGACCTATGTCTTCTGATTTTTTTTTATTTATTTAAAAATATTTTTTGGTGTGTGTATTGGGAGGAGGGAGACAGAATCTCATTATGTTGCACAGATTAGCCTCAAATTCCTGGTCTCAAGCAATCCCCCTGCCTTGGCCTACTGGGTAACTGGGACTAGTAGCATGTACCACTATGCCTGGCCTGAATTTTTTTTTTAATAATGAGCACATATTATTTATATAATGAATGAAAGAAAAGAAATGCAGGAGACAGATTGTGTCCTATAAGGACTCCTTAAAAAATGGCTGGGTCTCTGCTGACTTCGGAAAGCAAGGAAGATTTCCAAGGGTTTGTCCAGTGGACTCAGGAGCCACCCTGGAAAGGCTCCCACTGGCCAGTGGAAAATTTATGTTATTATAGTGGGAAATTTTATTATCGCTCAATGAGAACAATAATAGCAAAGTACTGAAACACATCAAGGATGCTAAATTATTATGTTGTTAGTGGTAATTTTAAAGAATTCTCTCAGAGGGGAGTTAGTTAGGGATTTATTATTCTGAAAACTGATAAATAAAAGAATCAAGCATTTATTCTGTACAAACTGTGCCTCAGTGAAACTGAGGGGTGGTTTTTCTTTATACAAGTATTCCAACTAATAAACGAAGAAGGAATGATAGAATATCATTTTGCAAGCCTTTAAGGAAGTTTTTTTTTTTTTGCAAACCTTTAATAAAATAATAGATTTAGTTAAAAACTATTAATGGCCACAAACTTTTCAAAGAAGCACCACAATATGATATGCTTCCAGATAGAAGTACACAGCACAACCTATGAAATATATCCTTATTCCTAAATCAGACCCAGATCAAATCAGATCTCTTGATCTAACTACCAATTCACAGGAAATATGGGGAATAGAAAATACCAAATGATACCATGAGGTTTTAATCAGCTAAATATAGAATGTGGAAATTATAGAAGACAAATCATCAAATTTCTTCCAAAGGGAATAGAAAAGGTTGCTCATGCTTATAATCCCAGAGACTCGGAAGGATGATGCAGGAAGACTGTAAATTTGAAACCAGCCTCAGCAACTTAATGAGGTCCTAAGCAACTTAGTGAGAACTTGTCTCAAAATCAATCAATCAATCAATCAAAGGGCTGGGGTTGTGGATTCAGTGGTTAAGTCTCCTGGGTTCAATCCCTAGTACTCCAAAGATGGGGGGGGGAGAATTTGAGAATCATTTCAACCAAATGTAATGTGTGAATCTTAATCCAAACAAATGTAAAATAACATTTGGGAAAAAAAATCAGGGCTATTTACGCACTGACTGGATATTTAAGTATATTTAAAAACTGAGCTAATTTTATTTATTTACTTATTTATTGTTATGTATTTTTTTACTTATATATGACAGCAGAATGCATTATAATTCTTATTACACATATAGAGCACAATTTTTCATATCTCCGGTTTATACAAAGTATATTCACAACAACTCGTGTCTTTATACTTGTACTTTGGATAATAAAGATCATCACATTCTACCATCATAAATTACCCCATGCCCCCTCCCTTCCCCACCAACCCCTGTGCCTTATATAGAGTTCATCTATTTCTCCCATGCTCCCGCTCCCTATCCCACTATGAATCAGCCTCCTTATATCAAAGAAACATTCAGCATTTGTTTTTTGGGGATTGGCTAACTTCACTTAGCATTATCTTCTCTTACTCTATCCATTTACCTCCAAATGTCATGATTTTATTGTCTTTTATTACTGAGTAATATTCCATTGTGTATATATACCAAAGTTTCCCTATCCATTCATCTACTGAAGGTTATCTGGGTTGGTTCCACAGTTTAGCTATTGTGAATTGTGCTGCTATAAACATTGATGTGGCTGTGTCCCTGTAGTATGCTGTTTTTAAGTCCTTTGGGTATAGACCCAGGAGAGGGACAGCTGGGTTAAATGGTGGTTCCATTCCCAATTTTCCAAAAAATCTCCATACTGCTTTACTTATTTATTTTTGAGATGGGTATCCTGTTACCCAAGCCAGCTTCAAACTCCTGGGCTCAAGCAGTCCACCTGCCTCAGTCTCTCAAGTAGCTAGGATTCACAAGTGTACCACCGAGCCTGGTTCAGTTTCTGTAATTTGCTTCTAAGTAATCCAACAGGGAAGAGAGGAAGTAACTGTTGATAAATTTAAACTCAGATTAGCTATGACTTGATCGTTACTGAATCTGTTATGAGTGCATGCAGTTTTGGGAGTCTCTCTGCTTTGGGAAATGTGTGAAATGTTTCTTAATAAAATGATTAAAGGGTAAAGACACATCTCTCCTGTTGTATGTGTAATCAGTGTTTGTTAAATGAGAAAAATGACTCTTTTGTACTATTCCAGGATTATGGTCTCATGATTGAGTCCCTAAAAGAAGAAATAAATAAACAAACAAAAAGACTTGGGGGTAAGGCCTGTGAGTTCTTCTGGGGCACTACACAAAGGGAATTGAAGAGTCTGAGTGACACTTGGCAGCCAGTGCACAAAAAGAGGGTCATGAAGGTTTGAGATAGTAGTAGCAGTTTTGGATCAGGGAAAATCAGTTGAGGCTTACAGCTGGTAATGAAAGAATAAAAACCAAGAGGCTGGGCTGGGCCCAAGGGTTCAATAGCTCCAAAGCCTGTGTCTCTTAGCCTGTTGAGTCTATAAACCTGGAATCGTACAAAAGAGTCATTTTTCTCATTTAACAACCATTGATTACACACACAACACATGCATAGTATTATAAGAAATAAAAAACCTAACTTGGTAGTTATAATGCACCAATAAAAATACATTGACAGTACTCGGAGAAGAAAAAAAAAAAAACAGGCTTGGGAAACAGTATTGCTGGTACAACATTTATGTATAAGCAATTATACACAAGCAATGTGGAAAACAGGAGGAACACCTAAGTTTGCCTATAGTTAACTAATGTAGATTTCACAGAAGAAACAACTTTGGAGTTTTAAACTTGAAGACCAAGTTGGTATTTGCCAGGAAAAGAGGTCAGGAGCAGACTATTTCAGGAAGAAAGAAATGAATTTGCAAGACATAACAGGAAACCACAATAATGTGTTCTGGGAACTACAAGTATTTTTTGTTTTGCAGGAGCATAAAGTTGGGGGGCAGGTTCTGAGACTAGTTCCCAGCCTGCATAGATCACCATATTTTCCCTTCTTACTCTAGGTCTGGACAAAGGTAAGGCCTTAAGCCTGGGATTCTATCAATCTTCCACAATTAGTTTCCTGATCAGAGAGGTGATCCAATTTCAAGAATAAYTCATGGATTGTGGGCCAGACTGCATCTCAGAGCACATGTAGAAAGACAAAGAGGAAAGACGAGGGGGTTTAATACTGTGGTGTGGGTACCAACAACCTAGTTCCTGTAATTATAGATCTTTGTACAAAGAAGGAAGATGAGTCAGTCAGAAGTTCTTACAACAGTAGTGTTTTGTATGGTGAAAATAAGAAGCTAAGCCAAGTGTGAATTCACAAATCACATGGTTTATTGCCTTACAAAGAGAATTTCTTCCTTAGGTTCACAATGCTGAAAGAGAAGGAGAATAATGTGAAGAAATCTCCCAGGGAAGATATTTGATAGTGCCGGGTATATTAACCACATAGTGGGTGAGTTCCATAATTATTAGTCTAGTTGCTCAATTAGGATGAAAACAGGCCTCTGAGGAAAGTAAATGTAATTAAAGGTTGAAGTGTACCTTTATACAAGTGGTTCTCAGGAGAAACTGGTTTGACCATTACAGCACAGGTCTGTGATAACACTCCAAGTTAGAAGGTAATGCCAATATGGGCAGGTCTGGCTTGGGAGCTTAGTTAAAGGTCTGCATAGCCTATGATTGTGGGTATTCAGAGAAGCAGCTAACAGTGTGACCTGCCATGACTCTCAAAGTATCTCTGTCAAAGTTTTAGGCTTATAGGTGTTTTGATGTCTAGTAGTTCATATATGGGGCCTGATTAGGTATGATGATACATTCTCAAGTGAGGGGGAATTTACTCCCAAGTTCTCACATATGGAGAGTCTTCATATTCTCCAAGAGAGGAGGAAACAGGCATATACTCTTTCTTTTTTTTTTTTTTTTTGGTGATTCTGGGGATCAAACCTATGACCTCAAGTACTCTACAACTGAACTACACCCCCAGCCCCACACTACAATTTCTTATTACACCAAAACCTGTTTTGCTCWTGGAGGAAATTGTGTTTGGAATCATTCAATGCTACATACCAAGTAGACTTTGTATCTATTGCAGTTTTATATGGACACTGAAACACCTGTATTCATTTCCAACCAAATTCTTTACCCATTTTTCTATGAATTGATTAAATATAACCTAGGTGCTCATTTAAATGGCAGTTTACACATTATACATAAAATACTGAGATAGGATAGAAGACATAATATTAGAAAAAAGACATGGGATAAAATAAGAGTGGCCATATTTAAATTCCTGTTTTAAATTCCACTTCTACATAACTTTGTTCAGATACAACACTATTAAGTCAATTATCAGAACTTATCCACAGGTTCCTAAGTAACCTCGCTCTGACTTTTGCATAAACAAAAATAGACCCCAAATTCGTTGCTCAAGGAAAGATTTTTTTCTCTAATTTATATTTTTAGGATCTGATTACTCCACACATGTACCACACTCCTGATAAAATGCACAGTAACCCTCAATTATACATAAATATAGTATAGTACTGTTTAAACTTACAAAGCAAAACCATGAAACACCACAGAGCGAAGGTGAGATTTTTCTCACACTCACACACAAAATCAAAAAACAAACGACAATAAAAAACCCCAAATAACCTCCCCAACAAACCCCTAATAGGTAAGGATGAACACCTCAAGTGATGAACACAAAAAACAAAGAACTAAAAATACCTTCTGACATCATGCCTGTAAACTAGATTTGATTATTTATATACATATGTATCATATACGTAAACTGTGTATTACATAGATATTGTGTACACATTCGCCTTCCATGTTAGGGTGAAGCCAGCCTGGCCCACTCCCACCCCTGCACTGTCTTCTCTCCGCCTGCGTCCTTTTGAGGGTCAAGAACTCTCACAGCTCAAGTTGCTGACCGCTTCCCTCTCCTTCGGGACCTCCTGGGTCCCGGTGACGACACCACCAGGACACAAAGGGTTGTTGGGAACGACCCTTGAGAGGAGCGTAAGGAATCGAAACTCACTACCAAATCACCACCGAAGGGGCTCAGAGAACACGGCATCACACAGGCACGACTGTGGCTTCTTTTCAAAACCTATTTTTGAGTGGCTTAGACAAGGCAAGTCTTGGCCCTACGCCTTGCGCGGTCGACTCAGACATTCGCCGAGATCTCACACCACCGCGGTCCTCCGCCGGCCGTTCTGCACCCGGTTCCTGGGACGGTTCCCAGACTCGGGGTCGCTCGGCGGACGACGGCTCCAGTTCTGCTTCCGCCCCAGAGGCTCAGGCGTGGCTCCGGCAGAGGCGTGGGTGGCCACGCCCTCACTAGCTTCAGCTGGCCCCCGGATGTAGCTCAGCCGCTCACCTCAACCCAGTCTCGGAGAGCGTCTCGCGCCTGCGCACTCCACCCGAGAGCGAAGAGGCGGGACCACGTGGCCCCGCCCCCGCGCTCCCACGCCCCTCCAGGTGCGCGTGCGCCGCGACTCCTCCTCCTGGGCTTCACTCCCCTGCGGATCGGCGGCGGGCGGCAGTTTCCTTTGGCTGCTCCGCGGCTTCGCGCTAGCCCTCACGCTGGGCGCCCGCTGCCTCCTCCGCAGCCCGGCGGTCAGGCCATGGCGTGGCCGCGGCGGGCTATGGCCGGGATCCGAGCCCGCGGCGCGTTGGCGCTGCTGGCCTTGGCCTGGTACGCGCCCGGGGCCCAGAGCCGAGCGCTCGAGTGGTACTCGGCGGTGGTGGGCCTCGAGTACGTGGACCCGCAGACGAACCTGACGGTGCGGAGCGTCTCGGAGAGCGGCCGCTTCGGTGACAGCTCGCCCCAGGAGGACGCGCAGGGCCTGGTGGGCGTCCCGCTCGCGCCGGGAGGAGACCCCGAGGGCTGCGCGCCAGGCACGCGCTTCTTGGTGCCCACGCCGGGCGGCCAGGGCCCGGCGCCGTGGGTCGCCCTGGTGGCGCGGGGGGGCTGCACCTTCAAGGAGAAGGTGCTGGCGGCGGCGCGGAGGAACGCCTCGGCGGTGGTGGTGTACAACGAGGAGCGCTACGGGAACCTCACCGCGTCCATGTCCCACGCTGGTGAGCCGCGTGGGCGTGAGAGGTGGAGGAGGTCTCGTACGGTAGTCGGGGTCCGCGGCTGTGTGGGTTCCTGCGACGGGTCCTTTCTCTCTGGCCAAGAAGCGGCCCTGGGCGCGACTCTGATCGTCTCTGGGTATTGGGAGGTCTTAGGGGAGCCCTGGATTTGCCCCCTCTGGTTCTCCGGGTGCTGCTGAGAAGGAGGCAAGTCGACACATAAGATTAGATCTTTTCATTTAGTGGTTGATGTGGAGGCAGTTGCCCTCAGAAGGGGRAGCAGTAAAGGAATGAGAATCTACTGGAGGAAGGTTGTGGTTCTACCAAGTGGCAAGTCCCATTTCCGTTCGCTGTTCCCCCAAATCCGGCGGGTAAGTAGGAGTTGAAGAAACTCTAACCAGTGCAATCCAGGGTCGTGCTGTCCGTTCACTCTGGTATCTTTTCACTCTGGTATGTTCACTTTCATGAAACATGTCAGTATTCTAAACTTTGTCCGAAAATTTTGGACTGGGCTTTAAGTTCTGTCTGTTTAAGTTCTGTCTGTTTTCTCATTTGCTAAATATATGATTTAGCGATCATTTGTTCAGTCTTGTTTGGAAGAAATTTTAGAAGTTACTCAACTGGAGAAAAGACCTTGCTCTTTGCTAGGGTACTCGTCTTACACTTCCCCAGGGCAGCAGGTTGCATCTTCAGGCAGTTATGATAATTTGAATCTTACTTTCTAAAATACTGTCCTTRGAACTGAGTTCTTTCTGGGTGAGAGATAGCCAGGACCCAGAGAGTAAACCTATTTCTGTTGTGCTAAGATCCCATTAGCTTTAGGCATCACAAGATTAACTAATTCTGAACTTCCTTTTTTTTTTTTTTTTAATGTTTCTGTGACTACCAAGTTTCAGACATTCTTTTTCCTCTACTACTGTCTTCCTCCCTCCCTCCTTCCTTCCTCCTTTCCTTCCTTTTTGTTTTCTTGCATACAATGCAAAACTGAACCCTAAAATGAGGGCAGAAAAGTGAGTCTGGCCTATTTGGTGGAATGTTGGGAATAGTAGTTGAGAGGTGAGGAAGTGGAGACTTTCAAGAAGCTTGGCTACAGATTRGGGGGAGGCAGAGAAATTGGCAGAAACTGTAGGAGCAAGGTACTGTGGTATAGGAGATGGTAAGGGGTATTTGAAGTCGGATGGTAGATCCTCTAGGACCCCAGAACAGAGAAGTGACTGAAGATGTTGGGTCTGTGATAAGGCAAGAAGGCTTTGTCCTGAACACTTGTGGAAGGGTTAGCCACAGAAAGAGAGGGGAACGAGCACAGATGTCTATGTGGTGACATGAGGTTAGACACCACCTTTGGTGCTGTTACTCTAGTGATTACATTTCTACCTGTTTGTCATTGTGCCCAAGCTGTGTTTCATAGACTTATGAAATCTGGTCCTGCCAGATTTGACATAACATTGCTGATACATACTATCCATAGTGGACCCAAGTTTAGTAGTTGTGTCAATGAAAAGAGGTTAGTGTGCCATGATTCCCCAATGCTGGTGTACACACTTTTGTATGTAATCACATATTAATGAAGACTTATTTTAAATGGGATGCTCATCATTCTAAATCTCCTCTAATTTTTGATGATGACATTGATATTCTTCCCAGTGAATAACACTTGTTCTAACCATGGTTCAGCACCCTATTTGTTAATATTATCAGCATATAATGTATTCAGGTCCAGAAAAATTCCTCTTTATTGTTCATTTGAAGTTCTTTTTTTAGGACTTCTGTTCCTACCATCGGCCTTCATTCTACCCTTCTTATGTAAGACAAGATACACAGAATTGTACCTTGTTTTAAGTGTGAAAACACTCATTGTGTAGACGGGCTCAGCATTCTGTATACAGTGACACAGTCTTTCTGACAGCCCTTTAAGGTAATTTCTTAACCCTCTTGTACAGATAAGGAAAYTGATACTTGAAGAATTTTAAAAACTTGGTGATCTATGGCTGGATAATTCTTGTGGTAAGTGCTGTGCTATCCTGCTTTGTAGGATGCTTGATTGCATGACAATCACCCACCCCCATTGGATTCCAGTAGCACTCCTATAGTTTTAATAACCGAAAATGTCTCCAGAAGCTGTCAGGTGTTCAAGGAGAGAAGGGAGTGACAAAATTATCCAACATTTTGAACCACTGACTTTAAGTGGAGATTACATTGGTAACGGTGTGATTGGTGGATTAAAGAGAGGAAAAGAAGAAAAGTTTAGTCAGACTGTTGGGCTACCATGTGATCTATAAGGGCCAGTACTTCAGTGGTGATTGCAGAAATGGAAAGGACAGACCCTCACAGAACTTGACCCACTTGGGTATGTGACTTTGTGAGTGGATGAAAGGCGTAGAGGTGGGGTGCTCGTAAAATTGAATACTGATAGTCTTCCCAAGTCAGGGAAAATTTCAGTAGTTGTTCTGAAACCCCTTGCTTGTCTAACTGAAATACAATAATAGATATTTTTTTAGATTTAAATCAATTTTGTGGTTTCTAAAAATCATGACTTTTAAGATAACATTCTATTAGAACAACAGTAAGGRCTGTTGAAAATGTCCATAGTTCATTAGCAGAATTATATTGAGCAGCCATTTTGTGTAAAGTATTGTACCTGCTCAGGCAGCAATGTGTAGGAGACATGCTTACTTGAAATATAAGCACAGGGGCTTAGGAAGCACAAAGGAAGGGCAACAATGTTACAAAGGTGTAGAAGTTAGCCTGACTGAGATAGGTAGAAACTGTAAAAGTCACATTGTTAACACAAAATATTAACTTTACTGTAGATATTGTGGGTTAAAAAAATAGGGTGCTAGGCCAGTGCAGTGGCACATGCCTGTAATCCCAGCAGTTCAAGGAGGCTGAGGCAGGAGGATCACAAGTTCAAAGCCAGCCTTAGCAACTTAGCAAGGCCCTAAGCAACTCCGTGAGACCCTGTCTCTGAATAAAATACAAAAAAGGAGTGGCTTCCAGGTTAAGTGCCCCTGGTTCAGTCCTCAGTAGGGGGGGAGAGGGGGAGGGAGGGAGAGAAGGAAAGGCAAAGAAAGAGCTGTTTTAGCTGAAATCTTGGTATGATTTTACAAAAAGGCACTTTGATTCTTTGAACAATTATTTACTGAGTACAAAATACTGGCAAGGATTAGAGCTATGTTTGGGGAAAGAGAGTTGGTAAGGGCAAGGAAGGTTTCAAAGACATGTAAGAAATCTCTGACTTCAGAGAGAGATCACTCATTGAGAGATGTGATTTTTGTATTGGCAGAGTATGGTCTTTCATGAGTGAATAATAAATTCTTAATTATAATACTACACTCACAAGTTATCTTTAAATGTAGATTTGAATTTAGAATGTATTTTGAAGGGAAAGTTAAAGTTGATAGGGAAGGTGTGTGTAGTGTGTGGTAGGGGTAAGTGAGCTATAGGACTTGTGGGTGGCAGGAATAGCACTGCCAAAGTCTAAAGGTCTGAGGTGAAGTAATGCATTTGGGAAAGCTGCAAAAGAGTTCTCAATGACAGTAGTATGTTTAAGAAATCCAAAATATTTTTGGGAAAGCCAAATTGTCTAAAACACTTAAAATTCTAAAGCACCCAAAAATGAATTGCATGTATTTTGGAGTCCTAAGTCACCCCTWAGCCAATTATGGAAACATTTGTCCTGTGAAATGCTTTCATATTTCTAAGACGTTTATGTTTTTACTTGGTGTACTATTTTCCCTACTTCGGAGTCTATAATTCTCCTTATTAAGTTGTCACAACTATAGTTATGGAGGATTGATTCATTTAAACCTTTCAATGGGCTGTCTCTGCTTGAAGCAGGGGCTACAAAAACTAATAAAAAAGAACAGGTAGTACTCATCTAGTGAGGAGAGGAACCTATAAAGAATTGTAGTAGGTGGGGCTGGGGATGTGGCTCAAGTGGTAGCGCGCTCGCCTGGCATATGTGTGGCCTGGGTTCGATCCTCAGCACCACATACAAACAAAGATGTTGTGTCCGCCGAAAACTAAAAAATAAATATTAAAATTCTCTCTCTTAAAAAAAAAGAATTATAGTAGATGTGTAAAAAGAGGAGTACTTAAGGGATGCTGATAACATTGGTTACCTGAAGAGGTGGGTGGCTGTTGCTGAACAGCCTCAAGTTGAACTTTTGCTGAATCTTAATGATTTGCCAGGAAATTCTCCAGGAAAGGTAAAAGAAATGGAGAGTGTGTGCCAGTTAAGTTATTAGAAAAAAGAAACCTGAAGGTCTGCAGGATTCTGTTCTTGAAACTTAAAATGTAATTTCTTGTGGCCTGAGCTAGTTTTCTAGACCAGAGATTGAATCTACTACTTTAAATATTTCAGTAGCTCTCATCTCCTTCAAGAGAATGTTGAAATCTACTTTAAATAGCTTCTTTGGGAGGAGAAGTACYATACTAGACTCAAATGTCACTGCTGAATTTTTGAGGTTGTTGGCAAAGTTGGGATTTTTTTAATTTGTTTAGTTTTTGATGAGGGAATAAGTAGAATACAGACATTTTGAAAATGAAATAAATGAACACAATTTTATTTTTGCACAGAAGAATTTTAAATTATAGTAATTTGGCTTGCTAAAAATTATTATCTTTTTTAATCTATTATTCAACAAGTAGGTTTATGATCATGTACTATGTGCCATTAAAAAAAAAAAAAAGACATCAAGGAGTTGTCCTGCCTCATGGTGAGGTGAGTAGGTTCCTTTGTCGGGGAGGGGTTGTGCAGTATGCCTTTTGTTTTTATCCCCAGTATCAGGGATCAAACCTAGGACTTTACACATACTAGGCAAGCAATCTACCACTGAGCTAGGCCCTCAGCCTCCTCCCTGCTTTTTTTTTTTTTTTTTTCAATTTTATTGTGACCACTTTTTTTTTTTTTTTAGTTTAATAAGATGTTTAATGATGTTAAGGCCTAGGAAAAAAAGAAAAAAAATTGTAAGGGCTTCCATCAATTCTGTTCCAAATCTTTGACT